CCCCATACGTTCGTATCAGGAAACTCCGAGCGGATTGGATCTCATCTTCAGAGGCTTCCCGGCTGATTCCGAGCCGCTTGTAAGGGTCTCGCACGTGGATTCGAGGAAATATAGCTGTGACGAGGGTAGTAAAAGGAGATGGTTATTGAGAAAATACTACTCTCATTGGTCATAAAATCTTTCGCAGAGTCAAACAAAAAAAAAAAGGAAAGCCGTCAGAAGCCATTGCATTAGACCATGAACAATTAACTTTTTCATAATATAAGATTCATAAGTTAAGCCCGAGCTATAAATAATTCACAAAACAGTATGTAGGGAGCTAAGACAATTGCTGCTCTCAACTCAGTAATTACTTGCAATTATTTAAAGTTTTTCCGAATCCTTTAGAAAGACATCATCAAATATTATGCTGAAGTATAATACATCATTAGTGACTGAGAAAATATCTTGATTCTTCATAACTAAAATTTGCACATCTGTGCATCGGACCCATTAAACATACTATTGGGGGCTGACCAAAAAATAAAAATACCCAAATTATCAATAGACTGGGCTAATATTGTAAAGGCTCATAATCTACACTCCCTGCTGAAGACTCTCACTTACTAGAATGTGACCCTGAGATAAAGGACAAAATAAAATAAAGATTAACCGCCTTTTGCTGTTCAAACTGAATAGTTCTACAATCTGAAGTTTAATTGTCATAACTCGTGTAACTACTTTTACAACAAACTATTAAGTTTTTCGCAAACAAACTATTCAAAGGACCACCGAGAATTCCGCATTCAGATATCAACCCAAACGATGTAAACAAGAAGCGGGCCAATCATTACCAATCAAAAGACAACAGATTTTTTTTTTTTTACCAGTCGAATCATTAGCAGCATCGCCAAAGGTTGAATCCATTGCACATTTCACGCAAGGAGCGATTTGCTTATGTCTCCATGTTGTTGAAACCAAACCATTTCTACATGATTTTCAACACGGGCAATCAGTAATAACGAATAATGTATGCAGAGAATTCACAAACCAATTAACAAGATTTTACCTTTGCAGACAGAGTTGATCCACGGACACGCCAAGATTATGAAACAACATAACTTGCTTCTTGTGCGACCCAAGACCTCTTGCAGGCAAGCCAAGGCTACATCTCAAAGGGCTATAACTTAATCCAGATGACATCTTTGATACGCAAACGCAACAAATAATTCGCTAAACTTCAGCCACTCCGGAGTCAGTCTATGCAAAGAGTGAAAGTCTGCAGCACACCGAATAGAAAACAAGAAAATGAGAGTTTATATTTGGAAGATATCGGGCAGATAAATCGTGACAGCACGCTACTAATGGGCTAATCGTACGTGCGACGAAGATATCAGGCAGATAAAAATGAAAGAAAAATGAAAACAACATAATCTGCTATCACATTAATCTCGCTCAATCTTGAAGTAACAGTCCCATGGTTTGAGCTATGATTTTTTCATAAGAAATGCAGAAACAAAGACCAAACATATATTAAAATGTTAGTAAATAATGACCCCGCAAACCCAGTTCTCCTTCTAATGCTACAAATTGGTCCTTTTAGAAACCTTTTGACAAGAGGTGTACATAAAATCAGAAAAAAAAAAAAA